CCCGGGGGCTCATTCATTTGACCGTAGACAAGGGCACACTTGCTTTCAGCCTAATAAAGAAAAAGTACAATTACTCATTTATGTAGGAAAGAAAATCAGGGAAAAGAAAGGGAGATGAAGAAATTCATCGTGATCAAAGCCATTGATACCTGCTTGTCACCTAGCTTAATCACACCACTTTCAATCATTTCCCTGTACAAGTCATTGCCCTCACGAGTTCGTTCCCCGACACCAGCAAACACAGAGAAACCACCTGATCAAAGGAGAACATTAAGTGCTAAATGAACGAAAATAGACGTAGTAAAGCATTATATGGAAAGTATTTCACAAAACAAACCATGAGCTTTAGCGACATTGTTAATAAGTTCCATAATGAGCACAGTTTTTCCTACACCAGCACCACCAAACAGCCCAATCTTTCCACCTCTTTGGTATGGTGCAAGAAGGTCAACAACCTATAACCAAAAAGCAGTAAACATGACTTCATTGCACACGAGCGACATTTGTCAAGTCATCCAAGTATAACATAGACTAATCTAAATTCATCATTGTACCTTGATTCCAGTGACAAGAATCTGCTGTTCAGTTGCCTGCTCAACAAATGCTGGAGCTTCTCTATGAATCGGAAGGAAATGGTCGGTCTCTGTTAAAACACCACATAGTTATTAATCTTCTATGCCAAACCCAAATTAATAACTATAATTCTTTGAGTGATTTCATGATTTCTTACTAATATCGCCTCTCTCGTCAATGGGTTCTCCAATAACGTTTATGATACGGCCAAGAGTAGCCCTACCAACAGGCACCTGTCAAGTTTTTAAAAATTAGTAAAGAAAAACGTCTTAAAATATGAAGAAAATGAAGGGCTAAAAACATAAACAACCAATAAAGAAATTGCCCAAAAGGTAAAACGTAATATATAATATGGAAACAGGAGCTAAATATCATAAACGCATGGCTTTTTGATCAGTGGAAGAGCCAATCAAACTCAAAAACGTGCAGAAGCTGCAACAGTCAACAGAAACATACAAAAGTAGATGAACACACTGCGCTCTACCAATCCACCATTTAAAAAAATGGTCAAATGGATCACGAAAGTTGTTATAAATTAGACAACGTTGAAATCTCATCTATTAAGCATCAGCCTATTCTAAAACTAAAATATTTCACATAAGAACAGGTCTATAGAAGACTTTCTATACACTGACGCTATCATGTCGAGAAGAAATCAGTCGATCATAACTTAATTACTGGATTGCAATTACCTAAAACTTCCATCCATACCCACTTATCCAGCTAAATTTCGCTAATATAAATCTTGCGTTGCGTACAAATTCACAAACAATGAAATGATAACAAGTGGATCTGAGGATATCATTGATCGCCAACTCCACGTCATGCGAAACAGAAATCAATTTCAATTCATTCATACCAACACCCGATAAAACGATACAACAAAAAGTCAAAACGTAAATAAACAACAAAGCGCCATTGAACCTAATCAAATCGGTAGCGATTATGCAAATACCAAAACTTACAGTGATAGGAGAACCAGTATTGAGCACGCGCTGTCCTCTAACAAGCCCTTCAGTTCCATCCATAGCAATAGTCCGAACCATATTCTCCCCCAAATGCTGAGCGACCTCGAGCACCAAACGGATCGAGTTGTCAAGAACCTCAAGAGCAGTAAGAATAGGCGGCAATCCTTCATCGAATCTCACATCGACAACGGCACCGATCACCTGACACACCTGTCCAACCGCACCGGCACCAGTAAACTCATCGGTGATCTTCCCTCCTTTTCCAACATCCTTCGCCGGAGGCGATGGTGTCGGAGGCGCAGCCGCCGCAGCAGAAGTCGCATACTCAGCAACGCGATTGAGAATATACCCGTAAGGAGAAGCACGCGACGTTGTGGTGGGTGAAATTCTTGGATTGGGATTCGAGAACGGAGATCTGGAGGAAGCTCTACGAGCGGAGGATCTGAGAAGAGAGGAGAGAAGTCTGCGTGAAGCCATCGCTAGGGCTTCAGAGAGTTGAGGAGTGAGAAAAGAAGGAGAGAGACGAAGAGAGCTTCAGGGCTTCGATCGACTCACTGGCTTTATGGTGTTCCGCTCCATCAATGGTCGCCAAGCCCAAAATTGGAATATTATTTTTGTTAATTTTTATTTATTTTTACTTTTTCTTGCGTTAAAATTGCCTCTTTATAGGAACCATACGAGGCTTTACCAGAAAAGTGCGGACAATCATCAAAACGGTGTCGTTTTCTATCTTTTCCGTTTGAATTAGGTTTACCTGATGACGTGTCGGTTTATGTGTCATTGGTCACCCCACTCATCCAGGAAACTGCAACAATAAGTCAAAACTCTCACTGGGCTGAACTTTGGGCCCACTAGGGCCCATTTAGGCCCATTGGGCCATAGCGTTGAGAGATAAAATAAAAATAAATAATTATGATTTCTTTTAGAGATAATTTAAATAAATTTAAAAAAAAAATTAGGTTTTAATAGACGCAATTTTATATACTTAAAAATTTATAGAACAAATTTGATATTTAACCAAAATTTAATATATTCATTAACTATAAGAGTATTATTAAGATTACAAGTATTAAGATTAAACTTGTAATTAAACAAATTAAAGCGTAGATATCCCACATGAGGAGGAGAACTAAACACCCAGGGTGAAAACATTACCCTAACAGACACATTTTAATGCCTTGAGGAGAAGCTCGAAAGGAAAAGTCCAAAAAGGACAATATCTGCTAGCGGTAGATCTGGGCTGTTACAAATGGCATCAGAGCTAGACACTGGACTATGTGCCAACTTTCTCACTGTTCCTTAAAGAGGGTAGACATGAGGCGATGTGCTAGTAAGGACGCTGGGCTTCGAAGGGGTGGATTGTGATGTCCCACATTGGTTGGGAGGAGAACAAAATACCATTGAAACACGTTTTAAAGCCTTGAAGGGAAGCCGAAAAGGGAAAGCGAATTAAAAAATTAACAAAAAAAAATTAAAATTATATTATTAACTTTGAGCCAAAATTATTGAAAGCCACCACCACCATGCATGGTGTTTAGCCGACACCGAGGTCGCTTACCTGGTCGTTTGTGTTCGACTTTTTTTTTTTTTTTTTTTCCTTGAATAAATAAATTCCAACTTTGAGTTCGTAATTCCACGTAGGATGCTGACGTGTTTAGCCGTCCACATTAAAAAAATTTATTGCCTCTTTAGCAATTTGTCTAATAAATTTGTGTTATTCACGTAAATGTAAACAATGAGAAATAAAGTAAAAAATAAAATTGACATTTTGTTTTTGGTATATATATTAATATTAATAATAAAACCGTTAAATTATATAAAATACTCATAAACTTTGGAATAAGTTTAATTAGTTTCTCGAATGAAAAAATTTTATATTTATTTTAAATTTTGTTTCCAAAATTAATCAAAGAAATTTTTTTTAAACTATACGTTAAATTATTTACAACATAAATTAACGAGATAGTTAATATTTATAAATTGATTATGTTAATATATTTAATGATAATTTATGTTCAATTTTTTTTACGGGAGACGTAGAATTTCCATTAATGTGGGAGAAAACGAAGATACAAAATTAGTGTAAACGGGGATCTATTCATACCTGTAATTATATTTTATCTAAGCCGTTGTATTGCATTTCTTGCTTGCTAGCTTATAACAATATTTTTTTCAACGTGGTTTTCATTTTTTTTTTTTTAGTTTATCTGTCTCGTTTTCTAAAACTTTATTATAAAAATGGAGACTCGGGTATACGTTCTATGGTCAATGATTACCTGAATTTGAATTAACCGACTTACCTAGTTAAAAGCGTATCTACAGAAAAGTTGTGCTTGCTAAGAGATTCTTGTAGCTTTGTCTGCCGCCCATCGGTGGTATAGTAGTCTCGATAGCAAAGCAGCCTTCGGCCCTTCGCTTAGTAAGCCCTCGAGCCTCTACAGAATTCCGCTTGCCCCAGTCTTAGTAGTGTTGACAAAGGAGAACAGCTCCCCTGTTGTTGATATATAGAGAGCTTACCGCCACTTTCTTTATAGTTGCGACTGTTGTCATGGAAAAAGAGTTTGTTTTCTGTCAAAGAAGCATGCTTCACAAAATCTATAGCGTAAAGACATTCGATCAGCGTCTAAACTAAATTACGGGTAAGGCCCCGTACTCTCTCTTCTGTAGATAGGCTATCCCTTTCTGGCTATGGTTACGGTATGGGGGAAGGAAAGAAGCGAGATCTACATATTTCTTTGATATTGGATGAGCGGCCGTACTATGATTGCTCGGGCGACATGGCCCCACACGCTACACAGAAGAATCATTGTTATGGGGTCGGTAAACGTGGTCCTAGCTTTCCTACGTGGTTGTTGTACCAATACAACTTTAATTTTTGTACTATTTGGGTTGCTGGAGTGCTGACGTGGATTTTTCCAAAAATAATTAACATTATTTACTTAATTTCATGGTTATTTAGTGGTTAAATTAATATATATATATATATTATTTAAAAAAATATTCAATAAAGCTGCTAAACTTTTTACAAACATTTAAAATATAATTTATTTTAATCGTTAAATTTTTTTTATTAATATTTTATTAAAAAGTATATTCATCCGAGGTTATTTTGAATATTTTAAAAAATTATATAAAATATAAATTAATAAGATAATATTGATATATATTTTTTTAAATATAAAATTTATGGATATTTTGATTAATTTAATGGAAATTATTTATCATCTTTCTATTTCTGTTAAATTTACAGAGGACGCTTCATTTCCGGTGGATTACTTGAATTCGTGGCGGAATATTAATTTTATTTATTTATTTATTTATTTAATTTTGTTGTTAATCATGGCGGTGAGGATCGAGGAAGAAGCCATGCAATTTGGAAGTCTCTAAAACTGGGAGGGGAGTGGCGATCGAGAAATCGAGGATTGTAGTGGAAGTTTGAGAATTCATCCATCGGGCTTGATGGAGAACGGGAAGCAAGGCGCCGTGGAAGAGATTTTGCTGCCGAAGCAGAAGGAAAGCAATCTCTCGAGGGAAGCTTTTGTTGAAGAGGTGAAGAGAGTGGGATTCTTGGCGGCGCCGATGGTTGCCGTTACTTTGTCGCAGTTTTTGTTGCAGATGGTGACGATGATGATGGTCGGTCATCTTGGAGAACTTGCTCTCTCCAGCAGCGCCGTAGCCATTTCCATTTCTGGAGTTACAGGCTTCAGTGTTCTCGTGAGTAATGATATTTTGTTTCGTTCTACGTTTTATTCTGTGAAGATTCTTTATGTACCTTTCCTTCTGTTGGTACAGGGTTCAGGTAAATTAGCGATATATAGTTTAGAGGATAAGGCTTAATCTCTTGATTCTCGTCGTTGAAAGTATATCCGTTCGCATGCGTTTCGTTTTTCCTTTGCTTTTTGTTTTTGTTTTGTTTCTTTGACGGTAATTTTTTGTTTGTTTTCTTTTACCTTTCGTTGAATCAAAGAAATATTGTCGGTGAGGATGGATCTGAGCATTTTGTCTCTTGTCGAATTTGAATATCTTTTTCGCAACCCTACCAACATTGGGGATAAAATGCAGGACTCATCTCAACCCTTCGATTAAGGTTTATCTTCAAGAAGATAATCATATTGAACAATTTTCATAAGTCTATTCAGCATGGATAAACATATCTGCAAGAATGATTCTAAGTTAGCAATTAGAACTGCGGACTGAGGTTTTTGAACATTGATGCCATTCTGTTTGCCTCTTTTCTGTTTTCATTTAAGAATGGATTCAACCCACATTATTGCTGGAACAAGCCATTGTCATACTGCATCAATGTCGATGTATCTTATGGCTAGCATGAACGTAGGCCTGAAATTTGAAATTACAAGTACGTCGAAGACTACTAAAAATGCTCTGTCCGAATACTAATGTCGAATCCCATGTTATATACCCAATAAAGTTAGTCAACTTCAAATGTAACTTTCTTAGCCAAGTTATCATGCTAAATTCGTTTGTTCTTGTTCCAATAACTGGCTGGACTTTTACCTTGTTAAAAAACAGTTGGGTTTGTCCAGCGCCCTCGAAACTCTATGTGGACAAGCTTATGGAGCTCGGCAATATCAAAAACTTGGAACTCAGACCTACACTGCTATATTTTGCATCTTCTTATTTTCCATTCCTATATCCCTATCATGGATTTTCTTGGAAAAGCTACTTATCTTCTTTGGTCAAGATCCTCGGATTTCGCACGAAGCTGGGAAGTTCATTGTTTGGCTGATTCCTGCGCTCTTTGCTTGTGCATTTCTTCAACCATTGGTGAGATATTTCCAGGCACAAAGTTTAGTAATCCCCATGGTCATTTGTTCTTCTATCACTCTCTCCTTCCACGTACCATTTTGTTGGTTCATGGTGTACAAGGCTGAACTCAGAAATCTGGGAGGAGCATTAGCTATGAGTTTGTCATATTGGCTGAACGTGATTTTGCTAGCATTATACATGATATTTTCACCTAAGTGTGCGACAACCCGTGGAGTCATTTCTATGGAGATGTTTCGAGGAATTCAGGAGTTCTTTAGCTTGGCCATTCCTTCTGCGGTGATGGTTTGGTGATTTATTATCTGTCTTTTTCTGTTTCTTAAATCTTGAATCATAGCATCTTTTTACTTTGAACATTTTTTTCATAAATAATAGTTTAATGTCTATTGTTGCAGCCTCGAATGGTGGTCATTTGAGCTGCTTATCTTACTTTCAGGGTTGTTACCGAATCCGGAGCTTGAAACTTCAGTTTTATCTGTTTGGTACGTCTGCTCTATCACATAGTGAATACAGAAATGTTGCTAAATTTCTTCTGTAAGCTTCGGGTTACTAGACAGAAAGCAATATATTCACAGTTGCCACTTTTTAACAGTCTCAATACAATTGCTACACTTTATTCGATACCATATGGACTTGGTGCTGCAGGAAGGTATGCTATAGAGATGTGGACATGTGATTAACTGTTTGCATTTATAGATCCATACTTCAGCTGTTAATGATATTATCCATTAAATGATGTTGTTACTTGATAAGTAAGTCTTTGGATCATTAGCTAGTTGAAATTGTAGCATTTGACTTTCATGAGATTGAGAACAAGACAACTAATTTTATTGACTAAAATGCTTACTTATCTGTTTACACAATATGAAGTGATCTAAGTATTGCTAGAATAACCAGATAGTATAGGAACTAGATTTTGATTCCTTTGTTAATTTTTTTTTTCTTTGACGTAACAGAGCATCTTTTTGCAGTCTCATAAGAGTTCTTCCCCCCCCCCCCCCCCCCCCCCCCCC